GGAGCGGGGAAGCGACGCGGGTGACTCTCCGCTGAAGCTCCGCAGCAGCCGAGATGCAGCCGAGATGCAGCCGAGATGCAGCCGAGATGTGGCCCAGATCGCTAGGGTGAGGCGCGCGCGCGCCGCTCGGCAGAGATGATTCCTCGCTGCTGCAGCGCTGCGAGGCCGTCGGGGTCGTAGTACGTGTCGGAGGAGTAGACGATGGACTTGCCTGTTCACACAGCTTGAGGTGTGAAGAGGCGCCGTTCACAGGTGCGTGTCGGAAGAGTAGACGATGGACTTGCCTGCGAGCTCGGCGCGGAAGCCTTCTCTATCTCCCCATATCTCCCCATATCTCCCCATATCTCCTATGGACTTGCCTGCGAGCTCGGCGCGGAAGCCGATGCAGGGCAGCGCGTGCAGCGAATAGAAGAACTTGATGGAGCCGCCCTGGGAAGGGGAGATGTCGGGGAGATGTCGGGGAGGTGCTCGGGAGATGTCGGGGAGATGTCGGGGAGGTGCTCGGGAGATGTCGGGGAGATGTCGGGGAGGTGCTCGGGAGATGTCGGGGAGATGTCGGGGAGGTGCTCGGGAGATGTCGGGGAGATGTCGGGGAGGTGCTCGGGAGATGTCGGGGAGATGTCGGGGAGGTGCTCGGGAGATGTCGGGGAGATGTCGGGGAGGTGCACGGGAGATGTCGGGGAGATGTCGGGGAGGTGCAAGGGAGATGTCAGGGAGATGCCAGGGAGATGCCAGTGAGATGTCAGGGAGATGCCAGGGAAATTTGGGAGACGCGAGGGAGGTGCGAGGCCTGGAAGTGCACGGGAGATGTCGGGGAGATGTCGGGGAGGTGCTCGGGAGATGTCAGGGAGATGTCAGGGAGATTGGGGAGACGCGAGGGAGGTGCGAGGCCTGGAAGTGCACGGGCTCCCCGATCTTGACCGAGTGGAAGCAAAAGAGGCGCTGCAAAAAGTCGTAGTTCATCTCGGAGATGAGGGCGTACCTTAATTAATATAATAAGTGATTGAACAATCAACGATTAATTAAGTGGTCGTAGTTCATCTCGGAGAGAAGGGCGTACCTTAATGAATCACAGTTGACAATCACTTATTAATTAAGTGGTCGTAGTTCATCTCGGAGAGAAGGGCGTACCTGTCAACAATAACAACAACAACAACAATAATAATAATCATAATAATAGTAGTAATAATAATAATCGTCGTAGTTCAATGATGGGGGCGTACTTGCGCACGAAAGCGGCCATGATGGTGCGCGTCGTGAGCACGGTCACGCGCTGCTCGAGGAGGATCTTCTGGAAGGTGCCCGCGTCGTGGTCCGCGTGGCAGTGCGTCAGGATGACGTGCGTGATCTTGCGGCTCGAGATGCCTATTAGTTAATCGATCAACACTTCATTCACTGATGATAGGTCAGGATGCCGCGCGTGATCTCGCGGCTCGAGATGCCGTTGCGCCGCAAGTAGTGAGCAGAGTGGGCGGGCGGGTCCACCAGGATGCCCCGCCCACGCATCCAAAGTATGAAGCCCGCCGTGGTGCCTTCAATAATAATAATAATAATAATAATAATAATAATAATAATAATAATAATAATAATAATAATAATAATAATAATAATAATAATAATAATGTAGTAGTAGTAGTAGTAGTCCAAAGGATGAAGCCCGCCGTGGTGCCTTCAGTCACATCACCAACCGGCTAGGCACCCAAGGAAGGAGATGAGTTCATTCACGCAGGGAGACGGCGTCCGCGCCTGCGGCGGTGAAGCCGTCGGG